AAAAAAAAAAAAAAAAAAAAAAAACTTAAAGCTTCGGTGATTGGGGAAAATATAACAACATGTAATTCTTCCTATATTTCGCTTTAAAGTTATTGTGAAAAGTTGTCTATAAGTGAATTAAGAATGCATTTGTTGAATTTATGCATAAATTTTATAAAAACAAAAACTACTTGAGAGTCTTTTATATTTTACAAAATTAGAAATGCTTAACTTTTTAAAGACTTTGTTTGCTGACCCTATAAGGTTTTCTTGTTTTGTTTTGTTTTTGAGATGACGTCTCACTTTGTTGCCCAGGCTGGAGTGCAATGGTGTGATCTCGGCTCACTGCAGCCTCTGCCTCCCAGGCTTAAGCAATCCTCCCACCTCAGCCTCCCCAGTAGCTAGGACTATAGGTGTGTACCACCATGCCTGGCTACATTTTTTGTAGAGATGGGGTTTTGCCTTGTTGCCTAGGCTGGTCTCAAACTTCTGGATGCAAGTGATCCACCCACCTTGGCCTCCCAAAAGTGCTGGGATTACAAGCATGAGCTACTGTGCCTGGCCCTGACCCTTCTGAGTAGCTGGGTAGTAGCTGTGACTACAGGTGTGTGCAACCATGCCCAGCTAACTTTTTTGATTTTTAGTAGGGTTGAGATCTTGCTATGTTGCCTAAGCTGGTCTTGAACTCCTGGGCTCAAGCACTCCTCCCGCCTTGGCCTTCCAAAGTACTGGGCTTACAAGTGTGAACCCATGCCTGGCCTGATTTTGACCTCTTACAAATAAGAGATAACAGTATAAAAACAAACCAGTAAGATTCTATTATTTTAAATTAATAAGAAGCAAGCATTAATTATATATTGATTATACACCTAAGAAAGTTACTTTTTTCTGTATAACCTTTTGTACCTCTTGAATTTTGTGCTATAGGAACCTATTACCTTTTTATAAAAATATATTCTAAGTTAAAAAATAGGCTGGGGGTGGTGGCTCACACCTGTAATCCCAGCACTTTGGGAAGCTGAGGCAAGAGGAGCACTTGAGGCCAGGAGTTCAACATAGTGAGACCCCATCTGTACAGAAAATGTATAAAAATTGGCTGGGTGTGGCGATGCATGCCTGTAGTCCTAGCTACTCAGGAGGCTAAGACAGGAGGATCACTTGACCCAGGAGGTCAAGGCTGCTGTGAGTTATAATCACGCCATTGTACTCTACCCTAGTGACAGAGTGAGACCCTGTCTTTTAAAAAAAAAAAAAAAAAGTTTATACCAAACAGTTAAAATTAACTTTGAAAAATAAGTAGAGTCTGAACCAAATCTATCAAGCATTTGATGAGCACTTACACACAGTTCTTGGTATAGTCAATATGTGACCATTCCGTCATCTTGGCTAGTAATACAGGTAGCTGCTGTCAGCATGTATGTACTATATGCCAGTTACTTTATGTGCTGTGTTTTAGAATCCTCACACCTTATGCTCCATTTCTCTTTAGGAAACTTAGGTTCGGAGTTGTTAAGGAACTTGCCCAAAGTTAACACAGCTAGGATGAAAAATAAACTGGGTTTGAACTCAAGGCAAGCCCTTACACTCTGTGACCTAGGCAGAATCCTTTTTTTAAAAAAAAAAATTTTTTATTTTACTTTACGTTCTAGGATACATGTGCAGAATAGCAGGTCTGTTACATAGGTATACATGTGCCATGGTGGCTTGCTGCACCTATCAACCTGTCACGTAGGTTTTAAGCCCCACATGCATCAGGTATTTGTCCTATTGCTCTCCCTCCCCTTGACCCCCACCCCCTCCGATGTGTGATGTTCCCCTCCCTGTGTCCATGTGTTCTTATTGTTCAACTCCCACTTATGAGTGAGAACATGTGGTGTTTGGTTTTCTGTTCCTGAATCCTATTAGAATTCTATTAGGGCGGAATCCTATTAGAACCAATGCCCTACCAACTTGAGGTGCTGTCATGACTAATGCCATTACTATAGGAATCTCTATGACAATAATGACAGAACTCATTTGTTTTATGGAATATATATTAAGAGGATACAGATAATCCTTAGAATTTTTGTTAATTTGTAGTCTTTGAAAAGTTTTCCTTTTTATAGATGAATATGCCATAAGATTTGGACAAGGGAAAGGTTCTCAAGTACCTGAGCTGGTTGATTTATAGTTTGAATGTGTAAAAAAAAAAAATATATATATATATATATATATAGATATAAAACCATTCCAAATTATGGCTGGAAACATTTATATTTTAAAAATTAAAGATTGGGAGGCCGGGCGCGGTGGCTCGAGCCTGTAATCCCAGCTACTCAGGAGGCTGAGGCAGGAGAATTGCCTGAACCCAGGAGGCGGAGGTTGCGGTGAGCCGAGATGGCGCCATTGCACTCCAGCCTGGGTAACAAGAGCGAAACTCCGTCTCAAAAAAAAAAAAAAAAAAAAAAAAAAAAATATTAAAGATTGAAATCATTTTGTCATTTCTTATTTCAATAGTGAAACAATATCACTAACCCTAAAAATATTTTTAGAAGTGTTTAGTTTTTATTTTAATGCTGCTTCTGTAGTGTTTAAAGCACACTGATCATTTTGATAAGAAACAGTGTATAATATTGTCCAGTTTAGTATCATTTTGACAAGAAACAACATTATAATAATTACCAGTTTAGTATAATGGTGTAACCTAAAAAAAAGTAAAACATTTATTATATCAAACTTGAGCATTTAAAAAGTCATTTTAGAGTAAATACTGGTATAAAAATACAGAAAAAAAAGAAAAATCAGTTATTTCATTTTAAAATTTGTATTATTTTGCTGCATTCCTTTCAAGTCGTTTGTTTCCATTCATAGATGATTTTTAAAATTTAAAATATTTGTAATCACAGAACATATATTGTACTTTTTACCTAATATCATAAGGATTTTTTTTTTTTTTTTTTTTTTTTTTTTTTTTTTTTTTTTTGGAGATAGTCTCACCCTGTTGCTCAGGCTAGAGTGCAATGGTGCCAATCAGTAGATAAACTCATCATATAAGCTCACTAGGGATTACCGTCTTGGAACTGTTGATGGCAATATGTTATTCCAGAAAGCTTAAGTGTCTAAAAAACATACAGTTGGCATACTTCTATTTGATAATGGGTGGTTTTTAAAATTCTCTCTTTTCAAAAGTGCTTTCAAAGCATTGGAGAACTCTCAGAAATGTCATCCTACCTTAAAATACTTTGAAAGGAAAGAAAAATGCTTTTTTGCTGGAAATAAGATGGAACTGTAATAAATGCTTTGGCTTGGATAATTTTAATATGTCCCAGAGAAAAAGGGGACACACACACACTTGTACACATACACACACATGAGGTCTTTTCAGGGACTTTTTTTTTTGGAGACTGGATAACAAAAAAAGTCCCAATTAGCTGGGACTGCAGGCTCATGCCACCTATCCTCCACAGGAGACTGTTGTTACTAAAAGATTATCTTGTAATGTGCTCTTTCAATATGCTCAGCCCAGTGTGGGTACTGTTTTTTTTACAGGGTATTTATTGAATGCTAGGCTTATTGAAAAGTTAGAAGTTTGGGTATGTAAGTTTGGGTTGTATCAAGGAAAAAAAGTAAGTAACCACAGCTTTTTAAAGTTAAAAATGAAAAAGTTTGTTTCCACGAATCTAACTATATTGTATTCCTTTTGTGTTTTATGTTTATGCATAGGATTTTTATATTGCTTTGGGAACAGGATTTGTGTTTTTGTTGGCATCCATCATTTTTGTTTCCACACATGACAGGACTTCAGCTGAAATTGCTGCAATTGTAAGTACCTTGTATTTTTAACATTGCTTATTTTTGTTTCCTTATAAATACGGAATTTGGAGAGTACTTGACAAGTTATACCGTATGTTAGAGTTGTTTTTCTTTTAACTTATTTTTTAGTGTAATTTTGAATAGAAGACCTAAAAGCAAATCAGTATGATAGCCTTTAAAACCTAGAGCCTATAGGATTTGGCTGAATTTTGTTTAAAAAAAATCCATTTATTCCACATAAGAATGTGTTATTGCTAATGGAAGTGGTAAAATTGACTTTATTATCTTATATTTCTCCACTTTCAGTTCAATAAATGCACACTTACTTGCCAGGTGCTATTCTAGGTATGGAGAATATATGGGAGAAATGATTCAGAGGTTCAGCCCAGAAAAGGAGGTAGAAAAGTAAAATTTTAATGGAGTTTGTTAAATGAACCAAGCAGTTGTTTAAGACTGGGTGCTGTGGCTCAGGCTTGTAATCCCAGCACTTTGGGAAGCCAAGGTGAGAGAATCACTTGTAGCCAGGTGTTCAAGACCAGCCTGGGCAAGCAGCGTAATGAGACCTCATCTCTACAAGAAGAAGAAAAAAAAGGTGGTCTAAGTAGCAGTTTTCAGTGGGTTATACATATCCTTAAAGGTTCATCAGGACTTTTCAAGGACTACTAGGCAGAGATAGTTTTTTTTTTTTTTTTTTTTTTCTTTTTTTCTTTTTAATTACTGAAGAGGTTCATATAGAGCAGAGATAGTTTTTAAGGAAATCTTTTTCCAGCTTTTTAACCTCCATATGTAATCTTTCTTAAAACTAGTATGTCTGAGAATTCATCTCTGGTGAAGGAGTCTTGCCAGCTCTTTTCTACCTTCCCATTCATAGTCGCCACCCACCTTGCCCCCTCAGAAAGAAGCAAAATTGCTTGTCCTGAATCTTGTTTCATTAGTTCCTTCTTGTACTACGATATAGAAATACCTGAGACTGCATAACTTATAAAGAAAAGAGGTTTAATTGCCTCATGGTTCTGCTGGTTCTATAGGCAGCATAGCTGGGGAGGCCTCAGAAAACTTAGCATCATGGCGGAAGGGGAGGTGGAAGCAGGCACATCTTACATGGCCAGAGCAGGAGGAAGAGAGAGAGAGAGTGGGGAGGTGCCACACACTTAAACAAGCAGATCTTGTGATAACTCACTATTACAAGAACAGCACCAAAAGGGAAATCTGCCCCCATGATCCTATCACTTCCAACCAGGCCCCACCCCAACATTGGGGATTCCAATTTGACATGAGATTTGGGTGGGGACGTAGACCCAAACCATACACATTACTATGGTGGATTTCCCTGAGTTGTAAAACAAAACAACCCTTTGAGTGCAACAAAAAGACAGTTGAAAATAAAGATCCAATTTTTATCTGAAATTCTTGTGGCCAGAATTTTTTTTATAGAATTCAGAATATTCTGGATTTTAGAAAGGTAATGCTGTGCATTTCCCAATTACACACCAACATTTGAGGGCCTGGGACAGTACCCTGTAATCTAACATTGGTATATCTGAAGTAAAACATAATAATATTTATAGTAAAAGAGATAAGTAAAGACTGTAAGTAGTCTTCGTGTCAATTTTGAGCCAAGTGAATCATGAAAACCTTCAGTTAATGTAGCTCTTTGGGTTTCGGAATTGTAAATCAAGGATCATGACTTTGGACTGGTACCAGTGCTGTGACCTTGAATGACTAACAGCTGGGTAACGAATCATGCAGGTCAGCGGTTTCTAGTTAGTACTTTGTTTTTAACAAAATTGAGATTGTAATTCATAGAGTTGTCAGCTAATACATCATTAAAACTGCTTTTTATGATAGAAAACTCAAAAGGAGTTCGGAGAATTGCATGGCTATGTTTACCTGTTCATGCTGGAAAGTTAGCACTTACATGTGTAAAAACAAAACATAGAAATAAAGTTAACGCTGAACCTTGATTCATTCTAGCAACAAGCAATATTTATTCATGGGTATATGAACCAATAGAAGAGAAAAATAAAAGTTTTAATAGGGCTTTATGGTTAATTGCAGTTTAGAAATATTTTTGTTGCAGAGGAGTATGAGATGGTGATCAATAAAATAATGAGTATAAAGATACATTACTATAACATTCTGTGGGGAAAGTGAAATGAAGTTGATGAAAAATTGAGTTCTGGGAAAAAATTTACAACTATATTAAGAAATTTGTATTTTAATTAGATGATGTATTATACTGTCCCAGTATTTAGATTTCATTGGATATATTTAATATTGGTAGTTTAAAAAGTCAATATTTATAATATGCTGGAAATTACCTTTTGTAACCATTTAAATTATGAAAAGTTTAATAGACTTAAATGAGTGAGGAAGTCTTTTTTTGTTTTTTTAAATTTAGAAGTGTGTGAACAAAAGAGCTAGAAGATCACTTGTCTGGATTATATCGTATAGAGGGCCTTGTATGGACTGGAGCTCTCTGAGGTGGTTAGAGACAGCTTCAAGGACAAGGGTGACATTTGGTCTGAGTTTGATGGTTGAGAAGGTTGCCAGGAAAATAAGGGGATAAATGCCATCAAGTCAAAAATAAAGATTGCAGAGAGAAAAAGACTTGGCTTTTGTGGCAGGGGATGGGAGGGTAGGAGGCGTTGGTAATTCAATTTAGGGTGGATTTGTTGGAGATATCTGGGGGAATTAATGAATTTGGAGCTCAGTTTACTCTGTGTCAAAATGAGGTGGAATGCGTATTCTTTAGAGTGGGGAGGAGAGGACAGGAGACTGTAACAGACGTGGCAAGAATGTTACTAATAAAAATCGTGGAGATAGGGAGTGTTAGATTTGGAAGAGACTTTAGTCATCAGATCTGCATCAATTTTCTCTTTTTTACAGAGAACTTATTTGGCCCCCATATCCTTAAGGGTTTTGCTAGTGGAGAAGCTAAATTTGAAGCAGTTACGTGGTCTTCTGTCTCTTGATAGAATTCTCAGAATGTTTGATCATATGTTAGAACAATTGAGGAAGTGATTTAAGGAAGAGGAAGTGGGTGGTGGCGTCATGTCACTGTGTCATTGCAGTATGACAACTGGAACGTATATTATTTAAGTAATTTAAACTAAAAGTATCTTCAAAATGGAATTTTTGTTTTGATATTAATAACTTTTTATTTTCACTTAGGCTCAGTTGCCTAGTCACATACTTTCCTTATCACATCTGTGGATCAGTCTAACCATGCAAATATTCTTGTGTTTTGTATCATTTTATAGAATTTAATGTTCATCTGTTAACCTTAGTTTCTTATGTTAGCACTCCACATATAAACATGCATTCATAAGGCAGGACATTAGTATTTTGTGGGACTTTGACTAATAGCCATTTTTCTGGAAATTTTATAACTTCTTTCCATTTATTGATGACTTAAATTTTTTAAAAAAACCATTAAAGAGTAGTTGTGTTTAAGATAAAATTTATGAACATCTTGCTTACATGAAACACTCTCCAAGCCAAGTAGGAAATGGGAGATTATATTCCAAAATTTCTCATATAACCTTTCTTCATTTTCTTGCTCAGGTATTTGGATTTATAGCAAGTTTTATGTTCCTACTTGACTTTCTCACTATGTTCATTGAAAAACTACGGGAGTCCCGGCTGAGAAAACCTGAAAATACCACTAGGGCTGAAGCCCTCACTGAACCACTTAATGCTTAAAGATTCTGGGGAGCAGATGTTATCTAAGGTAGTGACGCTGCATTGTGGTGCCTGAGCCCTGGAAGAAACTCTTGTAGAATTTGTGTAATTGTTTAAACCACGTCTTTTGGAGAGCAAAGGGAAGATCAAGAAGGCAGTTTTATCAGTATTGTGTCAGTCACCACAAATCAGGTCAGAGAAGCAAAAAAAAAAATGTTTTTAATAATGATCGAAACTATCTCAAATGGAGATTTTGGTGGGAGGAGGGGAGGACGATGGTTTCTTTAAATCGCACAGCTTGACGGTTGATAAATGATTCTGTCATTCTGTTATAGGTCATTCTTTTACTAGGCTTAGCTTCCAAATTATGCTTTATAGCTGTATAAACATGATTATATTAATCTATTTAGAAATTGTTTTATTTTAAAATTAATTTGCTTAGCTGCTTAGATTATGTTCTGTTAATGAAAATTTAACATAGTTAAGAAACCAATATTTAAAATGTTGGTCTAGGTTTCTTAACATATAATATCAGACTTTACTGTATTTCACTCAGCCTTAAATATTACAGTACTTTTGGATAACTGCTATTAATTCTTTCTGAGACTTTTGTATAGCCTATAAAGTGTATGGGAGATGTTGGTATTTTATGTGTTTAAAAGCAACAATATCAGCAACTTCATGTTTATACTGCACCTTGGTCATTGATGTCAAGTAAAAAAGAGATTGTTTTATAGCATAAAAAAATGGAAGAGGCTGGGCACAGTGGCTCATGCCTGTAATCCCAGCATTTTGTGAGGCCGAGGTGGGGGATTACCAGAGGTCAGGAGTTCAAGACCAGCCTGGCCAACATGGTGAAACCCTGTCTCGACTGAAAATATAAAAAATTAGCCAGGCGTCATGGCACAGGCTTTGTAATCCCAGCTACTTAGGAGGCTGAGGCAGGAGAATTGCTTGAGCTCAGATGTAGGTTGCAGTGAGCCGAGATCGTGCCACTACACTCCAGCCTGGCCGACAGAGCAAGACTCTGTCTCAAAAAACAAAAAACAAAAAAAACTGATACCACACTTAAGGACCAAAGATAAGAAAGACTTTTTTCACAAGAAAGTGAAAGTAATTATAAAAATGGCTGGGCTCAGTGGCTCATGTGTGTAATCGTAGCACTTGGGAGGTCGAGGCTGGTGGATCACCTAAGGTCGGGAGTTTGAGACCAGCCTGACCAATATAGAGAAACCCCATTTCTACTGAAAACACAAAATTAGCCAGCTGTGGTGGTGCATGCCTGTAATCCCAGCTACTCGGGAGGCTGAGGCAGGAGAATCGCTTGAACCCAGGAGGCAGAGGTTGTGGTGAGCTGGGATTGCACCATTGTACTCCAGCCTGGGCAGCAAGAGCAAAACTCACATCTCAAAAAGAAATGAAAACAAGCTTTGACCACTTACCAAGTATCTGGAGAGATGAGTTCATACTATGATTTAGAAAGTGGTTCAGTTCCCCCCTTGACATATATATATATATATATATATATTTTTTTTTTTTTTTTTTTTTAAACTAAGGTTAATACAGCTCTGTAGGTCTTCTTAGTGTCTTCTTTGAAGCCCGCCTGTTTTTCTGGGACCCCAGCCTTTGGTTTTTCATCTATTTGAGATGCCTCTTTTCTCTCTCCTTATCAGACAGAAATGGAGCCCTGTGCTGCTTCATCATTTAGCCGAGGTTGACCTCTGGCTCTGACGCTTACTTGTTGTCAGTTGTCTTTAGGTGGTCCTGAATCTTGAGCCCTTTTAATTGTGAATATCGTGTAGCAGGATCTTTAGAGTCCTTGTTTTTACATAGGCATTGCTCTAGTTTGTTTTTGGCAGGGAACATCTTAAGAAAGTAAATAGCTAGGGAATCCTGCCCAGACTAATACTGTTGGTGGCGTAAGGAAGAATCAAACCATTCTTAAGTGATAACTTCATAATCAGAATTGTCTGTTGGCTGTCACAGATAGGCAGGGCACTTGGGATACGACCTTTCTGTCCAGGTGGTTCACAGACTACACCTGTCTTATCCTCCTCGGAGAGTTTTGACCCAAGACTCTAGTGTTAAGATAAGCCCATATATCAGGTCCTTCCGCACTTTGGTGGAGGTCTCCCAGGGTAGGTTTCCTATTTGAAACAGTGGAATCATGTTTCTAGTGCTAAAGTTTAATGACCTCATTCTTTTTTTTTTTTTTTTTTCTCATCTGCCATTTGTGTGTCATAGATGGGTTTTAGCTGCATGAATGTGGCTAATGTGGTTCTCAGAAATTGGTCAGTATGGCCCAACATAGCTTCTGCTCTGTCCTACTGACTCAATACCTTTAGGATTTGTATCCGAGTTTGGATGCTAATTAGTGGTGATGTCACCACTACTTAATTGGGAGATAATGAAACCAATCATGGATGCTGTTTTTAAGAGGATCTTGCTGGATCTTGGGTCTAAGAATAAGGACCAATTCAGAAAACTAGTTTGTGGTAGGTAGACTAGAGTTTCACATCAAATTGTACCATTGTGATTTTTAATGTCATCTAGACCTATCTAAAATTCAGAGCATATCATCTGGACTACCTCACTGTTGCCACCCATGCATTGGGCTTATTCAAGATTGACAGATACATTCTCAGCTGGCCTATTATAAAACATGTTGTCATTGAGCTTAAGCTCTGCTTGTTCCGAGGTTTCACCCCCATTTGTTTCATTGGTGCAAAGTGGCTCTCTTAGTTCTTTCTTTTTCAGAAAGATAATATATTCACTGGTATTTTTGGTCACTCTTAGACCCTTCCTTCACATTGTTTTTTTATGAGACCCTTGTAGAAGGAAAAAGGAGTAAAAAGACCATTGTAGTAAATAAGTTCAAGGTGAACTTGGGACCAGAAACCACTGTTGTGTACAGAAAATGGCAAACTCCATAAAATCAAATTTAAAATCATTTTAAAATTAACAGTTATGGTAAATTTATATTTTATACAGATAGATTGCTTAGAATGGTTCTGAAGACTTATAAGAGAAATGCACTTACAGTACAAAAATTTTATAATTACTTAAATTATGTTTGTTTGGGGGCTGGGAAATGTATTTTTACATTGTTTGTAGCCAATCATTTTTTTTTTTTAATCTCTCTCAATGTCAAATTTTATAGTCTTTTAAAATAAATCAATTTAATTAAAATGTTCATATTTTTGTAATTGTTTATTACGGATGTGTGCTGTTTGAATGAAAAGCTGTCTCTGTAGTTGTGGGAGTTGGCTCGACAGCTTGCTGAGTGCCTATGTAGAATACTGGATTTTGGATCTATCTAGGATAGGAAAGAAACAAAGCCATTTCCTAACCATGAGCTGTCCCTCTTATTGGAAAGTTAGAATACATATTTAAACAACATTTTTAGGGAACCACATAGGAAGACTGACACATGCCTTTAAATACTTCCAAAAAAGCAACTCAGACTCTCTGTCACATTTCTAGATGTGGCTAACAATGCCGAAAACAAAATAGGCACATTCTCTTAGAAACTGTTCAATGATTGGGAAAGTGTGAAGCAAAACTAGAGTGGTTCTGGTAAAACTACAGCTATTTGTGTAGTTTGCGAAATTCCTGCCTCCACCCTATATGAGAATAACAGGGTCTTTATAGTCATCAAGAACCCACTGGAATTTGTACATTCTTCAGAGTTGGGTGTTTTGTTTTGATAAAGAGCATTGTATCAATATGCGATAAGCTGCAAGGAGCAGAAAACCTAATTAAATATGTCTTAAACAGTAAGACAGACTTATTTCACAAGACTTCTGGGCACGGCAATTCTACACTAGTAAATTCAGTGGCTAAATTGCTGTTCTACAAGTACGGTGATGTGTATCATAGAAATTGATATTATAAAGGGGGAGGCCAGGTGCAGTGGCTCATGCCTGTTTGAACTTGAGTTCAAACTCCATCTCAAAAATAAAAAATAAAGTGGGAGAAGTATTGTCTTTTCCCCAACATTTTTATATTTTGCTACTTTTTAAAATTTTTGAAAAATTTTTTTTTTGGAGACGAGTCTCACTTCAGGCTAGAGTGCAGTGGTGCGATCTCGGCTCACTGCAGTCTCTGCCTCCTGGGTTCAAGCAATTGTCCTGCCTCAGCCTCCACAGTAGCTGGGATTACAGGTGCACACCACTACGCCTGGCTAATGTTTTTGTATCTTTAGTAGAGATGGGGTTTCACCATGTCGGCCAGGCTGGTCTCGAACTCCTGACCTCAGGTGATCTGCCCGCCTCAGCCTCCCAAAGTGCTGGGATTACAGGCATGAACCACCGTGCTCAGCCTGAAGTATTTCAAGCACTGGAAGCACAGAAGATAACACCTGCTGTAGACTCTACTAACCTTTAATAGATAGAACATTTTGCTATATTTGCTTCAAGGTTGTAACTCTGGTTCATTCATTTTAAATGCTGTTTGGTATTTCATTGTATGAATATGTCACAATTTACTTACTCTCCTACTGATAGGAAAAATTCTGACAGCATTTTCAGCTTTTGACCATCTTAATGTTACAGTCAACGAATGTATTTGAACGTCTCTTGTGTACATGTGAGAGTTTACATGTTGGATAAGTACTTAGAAGTTAAGTTGTTGGGTGGGTCAGAAGGTACGTTATGATTTCAGCATGGCTAAATATTTCCAAATCGCTCTCCAAAGGGTAGACCCAGCTTAAACTTCCCTCAGCAGTGAGTGAGGGTGCTTGTTTCCCCGTTTTTGTCCTGCACTTAATGTTAGTTCAACTTAACAGTTTTGCTCGTCGGGCACTGAAATGGTGCCTCTTTTTGTTTTTTGGGGTTTTTTTTTTGGTATTTTTCCTGTTGCTGGTGAACCTGATGGTCTTTTAACTTGTTTATTGACCTTTATTTCACAGAAATAGAAGAAACAATCTCAAAATTCGTATGGAAATGCAAAAGACCCTGGATTGCCAAAGCATTCTTAAGGAAAAAGAACAGACCTGAAATTAGCTAGGCACGGTGGCCTGCACCTGTGCTCCCACCTACTCAGGAGGCTAAAGTGGGAGGATCGCTAGAGCCCAGGAGTTTGAGGCTGAAATGAGCTGTGATTGTGCCACTGCACTCCAGAGTAGGGGACACAATGAGACCCCATCTTTTAAAAAAAGCCACAGTTTTGAAATTGCAGTATCAGAAATTAAGATTTGATCAAGTCTGTGTTATTAGCATAGGTATTAAAAAAATAGCCCAAGGCCAGGCGCTATGGCTCACACCTGTAATCCCAGCACTTTGGGAGGCCAAGGCAGGCAGATCACCTGAGGTCAGGAGTTCAGGACCAGCCTGACCAATATGGAGAAACCCCGTCTCTACTAAAAATACAAAATTAGCCGGGCATGATGGCACATGCCTGTAATCCTAGCTACGTGGGAGGCTGGGGCAGGAGGATCCCTTGAACCCGGGAGGCAGAGGTTGCCCGTGAGCTGAGATCGCACCATTGCAGTGTAGCCTGGGTAACAAGAGCAAAACTCCATCTAAAAAAAGCCCAAGAAAGCCAGCAACAGACCTATCCATATATACCTACTTAAACAGAAGCAACATTGTCAGAGAAGGGGCCGCCCATTGAAACAATAAACTAGATGGTGTGAGGCATTCACACAATACACCAAAACCAAGGTAGAATCAAGTACTAAATATAAGATGTAAACCTTTAAACATTTTAGAAAGTATAGAATATTCCTTATTATAATTGAC